CATATTCATGGCATTTTCGAGGGTATCATATTAGTTATAAAGATTTTGAAAGGCTATGCAATATGGCCGTATATAAACGGTTGTTTGAAAATACATGTATAATACATAAACATACAATTTCTTATTAAATAAACAGCAGTCGTGTATATAAATATATAAACTTTATAATACTGCATGTTTGTAACGTAATTTTTCATTGGAAAATCGAGACATTTATTTAATTATAGAGATTTTTGGTTTATTTGTAACTTTATTTTCTGATTTTTACACACATGTACAAGTATAATAAAGAACTTCGATAGCTATTAATATTGCGAACAACCGTTTATATTATACAATTATTGACTAGTGAGCCATTGAATATGATGTGATATTCACAGGCAGAAGACATATTGACCGAGGCGATAGCCGAGGTCAATATGACTTTTTGCCGGTGAATATCACATCATATTCAATGGCTCACTAGTCAATAATTGTTTTATTTTATGAATAGGCTAAGAATTAAAAAAAAAATCACGAAAAAGTACAACCTTATATACATGTACAAATTTTGCCTCGTTGAAGCGCGGGGAAAAAGACGCACGTGTTAGGCGTGCAACGACTACGAGAACGCTGCGCATACAAAAGTAATTCAAGTTTATACTCATCGATGCGGTTTAGCCTTTAAGTATAACAGTAAAGTAATGTTATTTCAATCGAGAAATATGCCATAAAGAACAAAACGCAACAATTATTTTTTAATTAACACACGTAATTAACAGTCTACGGTGTATGGTCATTGAATATGAGTCTCAATCTATATTTAGACTTGGAAAATCCAATTTAGCCAGTTAATATGATACTACACCCAGTGAATATGATTTTATAAAAAGTTATGTTGACTACAGTTTGGACCAATGAGATTGCAGCTATTTTTAGATCATATAATAAACGACCATATAACCTGTTGGATTTATTTATAACGAACTCATAATACATCAAGCATTTTTTGTTAAAAAAATGAAATAATTTCATAAATTGACGGCAGCCATGTATTTAAAAAGTACATTGTATGTATATAAACGTCACGATTATCCAACAAACGTGCAGTATTATAAACACATACACGCAAAATTAAGGAGGTTCGATAAAATTATATTCTTTAAATTAAGCATGATGCCAGAATATGATAACATAAACATTTTAGAGCGGGAAAAAAACTTAGGGTTCACCGATCTCATTTCCTGTACGTGAATTTGATTTTTTCCTTAATTGTGGTTATTTCAAGGTAATATGACTTAAATGTAAGTCTGAAAAATTTTTTTTCTCCCGCATATTACGTTTTTTACTATATGTGTGTACATTATTAGAGAAAGACTTAATTCCATAAAATACTTCTATTACCTTTTTTTTTTATTTCATTTCATACTTTAAAATTTTTAAACATATACCATATTTGAAACCATTTTTTTTATAAATGTCACAATTTAAGAAAAAGAAGATAAACTAAAGCTATTAAACGCGTAGGTCTTTACTAAAAAGTAATAGAGAAAAACTTTTCCTGAAATAACTCTTACGCTGTAAACATACAATTTATTTATATTGGTGTTCTCACTATATATGGTTATATAACACAGTGACATTAAATTTTCGTATTCAAGAAGCATGTTCTGTTTATCTTTACGAGTATCTCTTATACATGTATGTCTGTATGACAAAAAATGAACTTACGGTCTTTTTAAGTCCAAGGTTGAACGTGAATTATTCCATGATAATTATGGCTGAAGTAATTTTCAATGGAAGGAAAATGAAAGCGGGCCTCGGACATATATTTGTACGAGCGTATATATAGTAATTAATATCGTTTTAAACATCAAATAAACACGTTTCTCATATGTCAAAGTAAGAAAAGGGCTGTTCTCAATTGAAAAATGCCGTACGTCAAGTTAAATTCTTAAAATATAAAAAAATGGTATCGGGCCCACCGCACTGCGTTGCAATCGAATCCACCGCCGTCTGCGACGAAAACATTTTTTTGTCATTTATTTTATAAACAGGCAATACTAATTTCCCAATTTTCCAAATTATGGTTAATTTGTGAAAGTATCATTGATTCGATGTGATGCCGATGCATTATGGGTCGTTTTGCACACATTTGTATGTGTTTTAACCAAAATTATGCAAAAGTGGCGTCCCCTCATCAAACTGTACAGAAGTGTTTGCATAAACGGCAATGAATTGCACCGTGCCCGTGTAATAGGTTGAAAGAGTACATGTGTGGGCTCCAGTCTCACTGAGTGTTTCCAGTAAAACATTAAAATATAAAACAAAATTCAGTCATATACTTACTGAAAACAACAAACGGCCATATTTTATCCACCGCTTCTGCGACGAATACTCCACCGTCGCGGCGGTAGACCCACCGCTTCTGCGAAAGCTATGGCCAGTGTGAAAAGGTATATTATTATATAAATATGACTTTTTGGTGTTCAAAAAGTGAAATATATTTTGATCTTACACTAAACTAAACAAAATTTCTTTTCATTATATGCGAAGAAACATTTAAAAAGACCTTTTAACTTATACTAAATGAAAAGTGTGCAAATAATAATATGTGATGTCATTTACGACGTGACATCATTAAATTGGTTTCCAGTACTGTGCACGCTGGTATTTCACAGGCTTAAATATTATTCAAAACATTGAAAAGTATCAAACTGATAATTTCACTGTTTCAGACAGTGAAATATCAGTTTTATATTTAACTGTTATATTTCTATAAACCAATGAAAAGCATGTAATAAATATCAAGTAGATCTTAAAACAGTCGTCAAATGGTTGAATTGCTATGAATCTAAATGATGCCACACAGTCTAGCAGTTTTTTTACAAACCATATATCTGCAAAATGCATAGACCACAATCAGTTTTCTAGGTGCATGTATTCCACCGTAATCATGACTGAATGTGTCTAAAGTTTCTAATCGTGACAGGAATGAAAAAATTTAATAACATTACACCTTCTCATCATAAGGGCGGAGTTACGGGTTTTACCGTAACCTTACGGTTTCTACCGAAACCTCTTCTCACCGGTGTCCCCGTAATGTACCTACCGCTAATGGTGGGTCAATAGCGATTAACTGTATTCCACCCCATAATAATGTCTTCATGTAAAGTCCCTGCTATTCTGGGCTTGGGGATAAGTCAGAGTTCCAAGTGATTTGTGCATTACACAAGCACTTCTGAGAAATTGTAAAATATTTATTGTTAAATTCACAAATCTAACATTTATTAATGTATATGATATGAGAAGATAATGAAAGAAATAGAAAACAATCTATTTTTTTTTCAATTTTTACTAATAAATACTGTACAATTAATAAAATAAGTTGAGGTTTTTTTTCAGAATACCAGTATTAATTAAGACATTTTCATGAAGATTTTCTGATATAGCAAATGCTAATGAAGGCACTTAGTAAAACAATTACATCTTATTACATTAAATTTGTAAGTTTTGTACATTGTACATCTAAATTAGCCTCTCCACAGTACTAGCAAATAAAATGGCTTGATGATGCTACTGTTACAAAGTAAGCCAGCTTGCCTGCTTTATTATGAAGTCTGCCCAGATTCTAATCTGTAGTCTCCCCCAACATTATTATATGAGCCGTGTCACGACAAAACCAACGTAATGGGTTTGCAACCAGCATGGATCCAGACCAGCCTGCACAGCCGCACAGTCTGATCAGGATCCATACTGTTCGCTATCAGTGTCTCTACTCGTTATAGGGTTTGTAAACGAACAGCATGGATTTTGATCAGACTGTGCGGATGCGCAGGCTGGTCTGGATCAATACTGGTCGCAAACCCATTATGTTGGTTTTGTAATCTCCCCAACATTATTATATTTCAACATTAAAATCCCTAAAACTCATACATGCAGTCCCTTTGAGCTTGTCTAATAACTGACAGTTTCCTGTAAGACTAATCTTTAAACTCATGATTGACTGTTTCTTCAGACTCCAATTCAGATACTTACCTCAAACTATAATTGAAACAGTAACCTTATCAGACCCCAAACACAGAGCACAGAAAGTTCCCTTTGACTCATAATAGGTAACAAGAGTTAGGTTGAACATAATAATAATATAACTACTAGTGTCATAAACTGTCTTTAAAAACTTTCTAGATGGCATTTCTGTCTCAAATATTGCATGTTATATTTACATTGTAACACAGACCATAGATTCAGACAACATTAGAGCCGCGTCACGACAAAACCAACAGAATTGGTTTGCGACCAGCATGGATCCAGACCAGCCTGCGCATCCATGCAGTCTGATCAGGATCCATGCTGTTCGCTATCAGTTTCTCTACTTGTAATAGGGTTGGAAAGCAAACAGCATGGATCCTGATCAGACTGCGCGGATGCACAGGCTGGTCTGAATCCTACTGGTCGCAAACCCAATATGTTGGTTTTGTCGTGACACGGCTCAAATGTTATTACCCCTTACTAATTTTGTAAAGGCCAATGGGAGTTATTCTCACTGTTAATTCAAGGGTAACATGTGACTGAAAATTTGTACTGTTACATAGGTAAGTGTTACTTTTTCGCACGAAAATCTCAAGTCAAGGATGCCCAAGGCATTAGCCAAGAGTTACAGTATTTTCCTCATGATGATATTTTTATTGTTGCTCATAAAACTGTGTTATTTATATAATTTTAAACCTGTTTTGATGCAGGCTGTGGGGAACAAACATTTAGATTTAAGTGATTAATTACATTTTAACTCCTATTTTGGTGAAATATTTGAATTTGAAAATATCCATTGTTAGCTGAAGGGATTTTATATTTAAAGCGGTCAGTGTGAAGACTTTGGCCTAACTGCACAGACTTCACATGCATTCAAACCAGGCTCTGTACTTATTTTGAATAATAACAAGGTGGTTCATATTTTTTACTAATGTTTCACTTTTGCCAATTAATTTATCAATAATGGTTGAATGACACAAAAAAAGATCAAAACATGATAATTTATGGAAGACATTATATAATATATCTGTAAAAACAATAAACAAACAAACAAACAAACAAACAAATGATCAAATATCTTTCAACATAATAACATATATAAGTAGGACAGATTTAAGGTTAAATAACACACTTGAACTTCCTGATAAAGGCTAGTACAGTACTTGCTTACTCATCTATCTTCATTCAAAGCAAAACAACTTATATTTACATGTAGTAGCAGAACATTTACAAAATAACTAATTATAATGACACTTTAAAATGATCCGGGACTTTACCTATTCTGAAAAGGTGATAAATTATCTATTTTTAGATAAAATATGCACTACAGTAGAAATGAATTGAAAATTTGAAAAGAAAAACATACCCATGTATTAACCCTTGTAAATCTGGTGAAACCCATAGTGTTTAACCTTTGCCAACAGTACAGAGCCAGGTCAGTTCATACATGAGACTGTACATACTGACTTGGCAGCTGAATTTTTGTTAAAAATTTTAATCAACTGTTTAAAACTCAAAGCAGAACAATTAAATCCATTATTACATACTCCTCAAGTTAAGAGTTAAAATTAACAAGAAATAATCTGTCAATACAAGAAATAATCTGTCAAGTTATTAAAAGTGTCTAATTGTTTCAATAATCAACATTATCAAATGCACAATATTGTAGTCACCTATATAGTAACATGATACTGCCTAATTTATGTAACTTGACATCTACAATAAGAATATACAAAATATACATTTTTTTTTCAAAACATAGATAAAGAAGGATAAAACTTTTGTATAAAAATACAACAAATTTCAACTGTATTTTCAGTATGTTTAACAAAGATTTCATGCAGGCAGCACCCATTTATTCTGAACTCTTTCTATTTAGGTACATGTACTTAGATTTATTTAACAAATATTCTACTGATTACAGACAGTTAAAGCCTTTGATACCAAAAGGTAATATAGATTAAAGACCAATAAACAAAAGACAATATGAATAGATAATTTGCTGTGGTGTCAGGTTTATAAAGTAGATTTATAAAGTTAAAAGACACTTGACACTTGTATTTTGTAATCAGGTAATCATAAACATTTTCCATATTTTTTTTCGTTGACTTTTTAAGTAACTGCAAAAATCAAATTATCATACTGAGGTTTTACTTTTTATTGAATAAAAATACATTCCTCAATAGGGTCAATGCATCTCTGCCTGAAAATAGTTTTCACGAGTTACCACAAAAAAATAAGCTTTACTGTGAAATATTAATTGCTTTAATGTTTTACACTTCATTTTTTTATGATAGATTTGCTAACTTCTTTAAACCTTATGAACACAGATTTTTGTCTTTGTAAAGATGTAATAGAATATGATGTACAGTATGTACTAATTGACAATATACATATCTCATGAGAGGTTTATAAAACAGGTTAAACTTGAAATTAATATAATGTATGTATGTAATGTATGTATGTATGTATGATTTTAACAATGTCCGGTTTTGCCTGTAACAATATTCTCTGAATGGTTGTGAAAAAAAGCATTATGGCTGGTCAAAACTAAAATGTTTGACTGTAAAAAAAAGTAATATAATTTAACTGTTTTTTGATTGATGCTTATCAAGTTAGAAAACACAGAGTGAAGTGGTTTGTCCACAAATACCTGTGATAGGGTCTTTGTGATGAACTCATATTAATGATTTTCAAAATAGTTCAACAAACAACACTGTGACCAGTTCATACGAATTCCAAACCATGTAAACTAAAGTATGATATCTAAAATGAGGTTAAATTACTATGAATTTCATCATTTTGTTCAACACAAACAACTATTTATACCAATATGCTATGCAAAACTTTTTGAAATTTCTTTATTTCAAGTTATTTAATGGATAATTTTTTAGGTAGTGATAAAATGAATGCAATATAATAAAATATTTGTAAAATTGTGTTACATGTTTGTAAAGCTATAGGCAAGAAACAACACAACATACATGCATTAATAAAAATAATATTACACAATATGTATACTTCTCTAAACCTGAAATAATGCATCCTAAGGTTTTTTGTAAAACTGTCCAATGATTGTTAAATAATGCTTCTAAGTGATAAAATATGTGTAAAAAATAAGGGATTTCAACAGGTTTTGCCAATTTATATCATCTGCCCTATAACTTATTTTAAAAACAATATAACTGCCCTATTTCTTGTTTAAAAAATTGTGAAGATGCAAAAATAAAAATGTGAAGATGCAATGATTTTTCATACAATAATTACATTACATTGATATAACATAATAAAACAATACACAATACAGCTACATGTATCATAATGCATTTATATACAATATGAAAGTAAAAATAAATAAATTTGACCTATTTACAAAATTAATGATTGTTAAAAATTATAAAATGAATCCATTTCTTTTTAGCTAAATCTTTTGACCCTTAGGCATGCTGGCTACGACTGATTCTACCCATGTCACCAGTGCAGACCAATATCAACCACAACAAGTATTCCGATCATGGTCTGCACTGTTTGCTATTCAGTCAATATATATATTTTGAATATTTTTCTTAACATTGATGAATGGTTTTGTTCAGATTGAAAAATGGACAAAATATTTAGTTTGGTAAGGTTTAAAAAAAAATTCTTTGAAGCTGAACAATCAGTAATCTGCTTTAATTTTACAAAAACCAATTGACTTTCCATATGAATATAAGTATAAAAAGCATGCCCTCTGCTATCACTTATATAAAAAGATATATCAAAAATGTCATTTTAGTATCATAGGTAAATGTTCAGGGGTTGATTGTGAAGTGGTGTATTCTATTTCGCCCATTATCTATACTGATACACCTTTATAACTTGTCAATATTTGATTAATACATTTAACAAGGAAAGCCTGGGCACTACTGGTTATAAATACACACATTTTAAACTTTGTAAATTTCAAAGAAAACAATGCAAATTTTCTACCAACCTACACACTATTGTAGTCATGTGAATCACAAATGTATGAGTATTGACATTGTTCTTATTTACACTTATAATACATTTCAGTGTACTAATTGCATGCATAACATAATTATGACACTTGTTTTAGTTAAATACAAAAAATTGAATATCAAATACTTTGACAGTTAAAGTCTGCTCATGCCAACTGATTTTACATCTATGTAACCAGTGCAGACCAAAATCAGTTGGCACATCTCGGATCATGGTCTGCACTGTAAGCTGTGTTTTGAAATTTTCTCTTAAAATGATAAATGGTTTAATCCAGATTGCATGATGGAAAAATCTGTCTTACATAATTAATACATAATGGTTATAGTACGGAAATATGAACAACACATGTTTGCCATTTGATTGCAGTTTAATAATAAGTAATTATTGGTACTTGTACAAGTTTGTTAACTTTATTTCTTCTTAATGTGATCAATCTAAATTTTAAAATCAGAAATTAAATTTATGCATCAAGTTGAGAAATGACACTGTGTATTTAATCATTACTTTTTAAGAAAAAAAAGTCAGTTTATCAAATAGCTGTGGTTGATAAGTGTGTATTATTAGCATAAAGTATATAATTATCTATAAAACAAAAGAAATTTAAATCCTTATGTAAAAAAAAACTTTCTGTGAAATTCAGTTAATAAATACAGTTCCGTTTATAAACATATAAAAAAGAACTTTATTTATTTACTTGACTTCCAAGAAACATCTTTTTTACATTATCTATAAATACAAACTTAAGGTATATCAAATGGCGGTTTTATCATTCATTCATATTTGTGAAATATTGTTATAAAAGTTTATGATAAACTAAGTGTTAAAGAGACTCCACTGAGGTTTTTTGACATGATGGGACTGAAAATATTTTTTTCCAGATAAATGTACCATTTGATGTAGGTTTAGACCACTAATCTTTGTGCAAAATTTCAGATCATTTACCCATTTCGTTTTTACAGAATAATTATTCAAATTGTAAAAATTAACCCTAAATGAAAATCGTGTAAACACATTTCACTCAAATCGGGCTAAGAAAAGCATAAAATATGATTTTCAATTTATTTCAAAGTATATTTCTTAACTATCTTTGCATATATTTCTGTTTAAAGTGCCCCAGCTCATTTATTTAAGAAATTCAAATGTAGTTTTTTTTGGCTTTTAAAATTAAAACCTCAGTGGAGTCCCTTTAATAATGTTTCTAATTAATTTATGGTTAGAAACATAACTCATTGATGGACTGTTAATGTTAACCCTTACCACACTAAATATCTAAAATTGACTCATCCATCTTTCAGTCTGGACAAAACCACTTATCATCTTTTAGAGAAGGTTCCATAATAAGTACTAATTGAATATAAAATATCAAACAATGCAGACGATTGCCAGCAGGCTAAAATTACTGCCAGCAGGCTAAAATTTACTGCCAGCAGGCTAAAGGTTAAATAATAATTGTGATATTTACTGGTATATATTTTACTGTGACTAGACTAGACAATACTTGAGCATTAATAAACTTATCTTTCCCTATATGAACTAATGCTCCAGTTATTTATAAAATTAAACTCACTCCCTATATCAATACAATTAACACAGTTCCAACTAACTCCCTATTCAGGCTCAAAATTTTGGAACTCCCTCCCTTTAAAACATATAAAATTCTTGAAATTACAAGCATTCAAAACTAATTATCTAGAATGGTGGTTCTCTGGTGGGCATCAAACAATCTAGCAATATCAATTTTAATATCACACATATACATGTATGTCTCATAAAATGTACAATTTCATATTTTCAAATGTTTATATTCATTTTTCTTAACGCATTTTTCTATAACTCTACTTTTCTTATATACATAAAGTTTTCGTTGTTTATATAAATCTTTTTGTTTGGAACTGTATATATGTATGATTTTTAAAAAGGCTCATAGGGAAGACTGGACTTGCTCTGTAAGTAAAGTCTTTATTAATATCATTACTATAAGAGTCTGTGAATGTAGGCACTATAAGAGGAGGTCATATAAGCAATATGACAGAATAAAATAGGCAGACGAAAAAAGAAGTAAACAGCAATTACAGCATTAAAATAAATTTGATTAAAGTGTTTTGTCATTTTGAAAAGATAATTAAATGTATATAAATATAACTTTAAAGAATAGGTGACATACATTTAACATTGAGTAAAAAGAGATAGAATAACAATTAGTGATTTAGTGTCATGTTTTCATGTCAATGCGAGATTTAGTTAACAATACAAGCTACACACAAATAATGGCAACATAAAAATGTACAAAAATAATGCCTTAAATAAATTATGAGTATAATGATCAATGTAAAGGGCATGTATTCCATGAAAATATTTCCAACATGACATTAAATAATCATTTTTTACAAAAATGCTGGTAGTCTGACCTGAGGCTCTATACTCTTAGGTAACTAACTAAATTTTCAAATTTTTCCCCCAAAATGGAAGTAGGATAAAATCATTCTAGAAAATCAGCAGGTTAGAAGAGGTCTAAAGTAAAAATGAGTGAAATGTTTACCTGACAAACTGCTTTTCTCTATATTTCATACATTTCTTTTGTATCCCACATAAATAATTATAAATATGAAAAAAAAAAACCTTCTCTCAGACAGAGTGATGATATTAAAAAATACAAAATGTATACATATTTTTA